CCATGGTCGTAGTAGTACGACGGAAAAATATGCGGTTCTATTGAATTTTCCTGCCTTGAGATATTGAGACAGGCAGGAAAATTCAATAGAACCGCATATTTTTCCGTCGTACTACTACGACCATGGGCTTCCAGTGTGGTAAGTTTGAAGTCAAAATTCAAAAGTCGGATTTTTGTTCGAAATCCAAGCTCTATGGGCAAAAACTGAGTAAAACTGCAATATCTCAGCAACCAGGCACCACGGGGATGAACCAACTTAGGGTATTTCACTACTCACTGAGGTCTACAAGATACAAGTAATATGGGTTCAAAAGCGATTTATAACCTAACGAAGTTCCCTTGTGAGAAAGTTTTCGACGTGAAAATTCGAAAAAAACAAACGTGGTCCGATAGGGTAAAAAACGTATACTATTTCACTTAGTTTTCGACACGGATCTCGAATATGACATTTTAATTGCATAAAAGTTCTGATGAAGAAAACGGCGAAGTGCGGGCAGAATTCCGATTTTTGCGCTCCTGGTTTAGAAAACATGAATCTTCTCCGTAAAAAAACAAAATGAAAAATAATTGATACGTACTTTAAAAGCTCGTTTAACGTTTGTTTTGATCAAAGTAAAGAGAAATAAATAAATGGGATTAAAAGATTTCACTCGAATTTGAATTGCCGCCGCCTTCTATATTACATATGCTTTACAATTTTTTTATTTCTAATAAATAATTATAAAATCCTTTTGGTTTAACAACTTGTTTCATTATTATCAAAAAGAAAATTTAAAATTCCAGTTTTCTTAAATATTTGAAATAAATTAATATCATAAAAATTATTTGTTATTTCTAATAGGTTTTCATAATTTGGTAATGTCAATTCTTTAGTATTTGGCATTAATAATATTACATATTTACATAATAAATTATTTTTTATATAATGTATATTCAATATTTCAATACGCTCACACGTTTTTTCTTTATATCTATTATTCTTTACATCAAAATTATCTGATGAAAAGACATGCTGAATCGTTATTTCATTAACTAATAAAGAATTTCTTAATATAACTAAATATATTTGATGAATACGACGAAAGATCAAGAGCAAAAATAATATGTTTTACATTTTTCCAAGTTTTAGCTAAATTATTAATAGCACTATTACTTTTATATTGTAAAAAATTTGATGATACTGGTAACATTTCAAATTCATATGGAAATGAAAATAAATAATACCTTAATGATTCGAGAACTTTTATTTTATGTAAACCAATTGAAAATGAATCCCATGTTGATAAAATATTATTTGTAGAGTCAGGCCGCAAATAGTAGCAGAACATTAGGGGGATGTAAAATAAAATTTCTCTTTGAGGTAGTGTGAAATCGATAAAAAAAGTTTTTGTGCGAGGAATAATGGATAAAACAACGACAGCTTTTTCGCTTATTCGGGGGGGGTGCGCACCCTCCCACACCCTCCCGTTATTTGCGCCCCCGTGTAGAGTTATCAATATTGTTATTAGTTGAGGCCTTGAATATCTCAATTTTTAGCTTCGTAAATTTTTCTCCCCTTTTCTATATAATCAAGATTTTTTCTTATAGGTGGTCTGATAGAAGGTGTGTTCTTCAAAATGAGACGTCTCGCAGAAGTTTCCGCTAAGTTTTCATGGAGATATAAGCATCACTGCAAATGTCCTGAAAAACAGAGCCTGTGTACAACATGTGTTTTTCTCACTATGCATTTTTTCGCCAGTCCCTTCAATCCAGTCACATTACGACCCGTCGAAAAAATGGTCTGATCGAGCTTAAATTTTTACTATAGATACTTCAGACCCTATCTCAGGAGTAAAAAGCTTTTTAAGTGTTTTCTATTTGAACTTTCGGTGTAAGAAGGTTTTTAAAATCAAAAACCGATTTCCTATACAGGATTTCTAGTATTTTTCGATATCTTGAGAAGGAAAGCATATTTTTCGAAAAGAAAAATTTGCAAAAATTGCAGCATGTAGACAAGTAAATATTGATTTATTAATATCGTTGCGGTTTTACATTTTTGATTTATACAAACAATTGCAATATGAACATGGTAAACAATTTCCTTCATCGTCATCAGCATCATTATTATCTGATCTTAAATTGTATCGTGGTCAACTCATGGCGACGGATGAATTAGATTCAATACGAAAAGAGATTGAACTGCATTGTAGTGGAGATTATGATTGTTATCTCGTAGCAAATAGTTTTTTATCAACGACACAAGATCGTCAACTTGCTATTATGTTTCTGGACAAAAGTCGACTGGTTCATACGAAGGTATATCCGATAAAGTCCGCCAACCCGAAGATGTCATAATGTCAACAGTTTGAGGATTTATAATAACAGTCTAGATATCAAGAGAATATGTAATAGATCCTAGTAAATAATGAATACTAAGTGATGCATAAACATGTTACTCATTGAGAATTGAGAACATAAGAGAATACTGGCTACGAATCTGTATTCAGTATTCTCTTTTGTTCTCAGTTCTCAATAAGCAATGCACTTAATTGATCTATAGTTTACTGGCGTTATATTCATGCGTCCAAAGAGTATTATACTGAAGTGTAAGGCGATTGCGGGAAATTGGGCAGTGGCCAACCGTAACAGGAATACGGCATGTCTTCGACAAGCCTGAAGTTTGAAGTCTTCATGAATTTCAAAAGCAACAGAAGAAACTCGTTCTCAAATCGCAATATCAGATTCTCATTCATACGCAGACAGCAATGTCAATAACCTCTTGACAAGATCATCGAGAAGAACTGTCCTCTTTGTGGCCAACTTCAGAAAGACGCTGATCTTGGCGATCTTTGTTAAAAATAGTCCTGGACAGGAGGTACTACTATTAACATAAAACGTTGAAGGAGGGGACAGAAGCAACACAAACGTTTGCTTTTTGGTAAGGAATGGTACAATCACTGTCTTTCATGGAAGCTCATTGTTGCAACATTCAGTCGGAATTGGGAAAATGATTCGTTGCTTCCATCTCTACGAGTGATAATGAACATATTGAATTAAGTTCTCGGAATTTGTCTTATAAGTTCTACTTTGAGAGTGCACGCTGATTGAAACGGAATTAAGTAGGACTAGAATGCACGATTCATTAATGTGTCATTGGAATTTTCAGTAGCGCAATTCCACTCCTGAAAACGCTAAGAATACAAATAAACTAGATCGGACGGTCATACTACCTTTCTGCAAATGTATATACGGCATATAAAAGTCGCTGGAACGGAGTTAAAAGTTCTGGGTCTGGTTTACTGTGATGTAGAGCAAATTTGGATAGCTGATGTTGTAGATGTCTCGGTCCTAACTCTGCTGTTTTGTTTTCTGGCTTCATCACTAAATGTTAAAATTCTGAAGCCCATTGAACTACTTTTTTATTTTAACAGCACTCAATACATCTGATTATGTTCCAAATGATGAATGGTTTTCTCCTGTATTTGATCATAATGAAAAAGAATCAGTCCTGTTTAAAATTGAAATACCATCATCATCATTAACAGCAACAAAACCATTTGCTAATATTTCACACTTAAGTCATTTGGATGAAAATGAAACGTTATTGATGATGAGAAGTGTATTTAAACTTATGAATATATATTACGAAGAAGTAAATAACGTTTATGTTATTCAGTTGAGTTTGGTACTAGATGCCTATAGTGAAGTAAAAGCACCAACACTTTATCTACAAATCATCGAAACGGGAACATGGTTGAGCGTTGTACCAACCTATGCACTACTGTATTTTCTGTATCCAGTTGATGTTAACAAACGTTTTTCAATATGTGAAACAATGTTCAATTCATTAATTAATCAATTTGCATTAGATTCATCGAAAATTATTTTCCAAGCAACATGTTATATTGGTCTTGGGTGGACATTTTTAAATAAACAAGATTATAATTCAGCATTAAAAAGTCAAGAAAAGGCTTTAACTATATTGCTGTTGTTTGAAAAAAATAAGCATAGAAATTTATGTCTTATGTTTTAATTGTTTGGGAATGATTTATGAACAAAAAATGTTTGATTATGATAAAGCAATGGAGTATTATACGAAAGCAAGTGAACTAGTAGATGACTGTGGCATTCAAATTAATAAATATGCTAGTCACAATAATTTTCGTAATATACCTTTGGTTAATATTGCAGTGTTATATAATCGACAAGGAAATGCTCATTTAGCTTGGGAGACATATAAAAGATTAGGTATTAATTCAGATGACTACAATTTTAAAAATGGTGTTGCTTTCGAAGAACCATATTCAGCAAATTGCTGAATATGGTTGCTGACAGCAATTGCTGCATCTTATGCTTGGCTTGCCATTAACTTATCTACTGTGTCGAATGAAGATATGTTGCAATGGAAAGATTTTATTGACTATAGTATCAAAGATCATCCGCTGAATGAAGATACAATTATCAAAAATTTTCTAAGGATTGCCGGAATTTATTTTCGTCATAGAGCAGAGCTTGAGCCAGCTATTTTATGTTATGAAAGTGCATTAAACATTATGTTGAAGAATATTAGTAAATACAGAAAGGAGCTAGAAGATACTTGCCGTACAATTGCATTTATTTATTCAAAAACTAATAATTTCAATATGCAAATTAAATACTACAGAAAGACAATTGACTACTGTAATGAAACAAGGTGGAAAGTACAATAGCTATATAAAAAAATTGCTTATCTGTATGGAGTAAATGGTTATTATACTATGCAACGCTTGTGGTTTGAAAAATTCATTGCACGTGCAGGAAAGTATCGTAGTACACATAAATTATTTTTTAATGCACTTATTGAAGAATATAAACATGATTTAATATATGGTTATTATGAAGAAGATGATTCTTATCGGAGGAGCTGGGATGATGTCGATGATACTGGAAGGCACTGAGATAATCGGGGAATCACTTTGATGGACAATGGTGAATTTAAGAAGGCAGTTAATTATTTTAAAAATCAATATGCATCTAGATACAGTAAACGAGTACCAATTCTAGACGATTACGATTTCTAAAGAGGTTGGCGTTATTTTAGTGGCATATTGTGCACAACGAGCTTTCAGAACAGAGCAGCTGGAACTTTTATGTTTTATTTGAAAAATATATGTATCAGTTAGTAGAACAGCCATTTTCAAAAAATTAGAAAACGGTTTTTGATCCAAACAGCGCCAAAATATTCTATACTTTCATCTTATCTAATGACATATCAAGTATTTGATCAAAATAGTCAGAATCATCTGTCACCATTTGATATTGCCCAATATCCATCTATTCATGGAATTGCAGTCAAATGTTCAAAATACAAATGTAACATGGCTATTTACAATGGAAGTTTATTAATAGGCTATGAATATTAAAAACGTTCTGATATTTTTGCTTTACCATACCCATGCAGCTACAAGTATTTTTCTTCTTGTGTGTAGTAGTTATGGAGTTGTCACAATGCTTAAACAAATTTTAACTGTCGAATGCTTTTTTCTTCTATACTAATTAAATCAATGATGAGTGACTCTCCCATCAAATTATAGCTATTTTCCAATCGAGAGTCGAATGAGATAATTTGTAACAGAAATTAAGAATAAAATCACCCATTTTCATGTTGAAATAACCAATTTCAAAATTTTTCGTTTCGTCTTTATTCTAAGGTCATCAAACTAATATGCAAAAAGTGAATTTTAAGATAAAAAAGAATAACAAATACGAACATATAGAACCATAGGTCCTTAAACAACGCGGTCAAGAAGGAAAAAAAAAGCAAGTAAGCGGTACTACTTTATCAAAATCTGCTCAATTGCATCACATGTTAACAAAATAAATGTTGTTTAGTTATCATTTCACACAGTGGGATTTTATTAAAACAGTGAATACTAAAATTTTTCTTATTTGTATTAACTTGATAATGACCATCGTAGGTTGAAATATTATCACAACATAAAAGAATGTTGTAATTTCACATAATTGCATTAACTATACAATTTATTTCAAAATTTCATGATTAAAAAATTCCTAATTTAAATCCGGTTTCGAAGTATTATTAAACTGCTCTTATAGCAAAATTTATATGAAAGAATAGATACATAATAAATGTCAAACCAAAGAACATAAAAATCTGAATAAAACGAATAGGTTTTGAGCTTGTTACTAAGAAAGATTTCTGGAAAATCTACTTAGAGAGTACAGTCTTTTCGCACTTAAAACTGTTTTCAGATACATATTCTGAAAGAATTTATGCTTTTTCTATAAAATAACATGTCAAGAACAATTTGTTTTTGAGTCCAAACTAGTGAACATAATTTTAGGGTACTCTGCCTTTTTTTAATGCGTATAAAGCCTTATAATAAACCTATTTGAGTCACAAAAAAGTGGTTGGTTTTATGAACCACTGACAACAGAAGGCAAAAATCATTTTTCTCCAGCAAATGTAACTTCAAGCTATTTTTCTTCATTTTTAATTATTTTTTGTTATAAGGACCGGGAGAGAAGATGAGAATATTTTGATTCGATAAAGAATTGTATTCGCTACCTTTTAATGGAAGAAAATTTTATTGTATACGTTATTTAAACTGCGATGCAATATTCCTTTCCAAAAACAATTGAGGAAACCCTGAACATCGGTTTTCAAAAATCTAAGCGTTTCTCAACCATCAATGATTAGCATCTAGGAACTAGAATCAGAGTTTGAATCGTTCAATAAATTCTCCTTGTTTTTCGCTCTATCATTCGTCTTTTTATCTTTTTTCTTTCAGTCGACCTATCAGAGACCGAAACGGATCGAGTCCCGTCGTATCGGGTTGGATACGGGTTGAGGTAAAAAGTATTGATTCGGGTCGAGTCAAAGGAAAAAAAATTTACGGGTTTTATTCGGGTCTTGCTACTTGAAAATAAATCAGGGAATATTCTTCGGTTACGGTTCACTCATCTATTTTTCAACATGTACCTTTTTAGTCGGAAAAAGACGTACAGTGTTCTTTCCTTCCTGCTTTGACGCTGTGTAATGTACACTGTACATTGTACAGTATCGCACTGTTGCAGCAAAGAAAGAAAAGAAAAAAGGAAACATAAGTAAATCCAGAAAAACGAACGCCTTAAGGGGAAGGTGCCCCCATTTAGATTTTTCTATAATGTTCCCAATTTATAGAGGACACTTCGAAGTATATGTCCGGAAGTTTTTTCGGCTTACTGACATTATTTGGCTGAGCAAAAAATATTGTTAAATTTTTGAACAAGGGATTATTATTAAAAACATTCCTGTCCATTCTCCATTCACTACAAAAGCTTGGCTCTTGCCTAGATCAATAGAGAAATGTGTGGAGAATATTTATTACGAGAAAATATGCAAGAATTTTTGTTCTTTCTTTCTTGATATTGGCTAATTACTATCCATTTCAAAATAGAAGATGAGTAAATAAAACGCTTATAACTCCGAAACGAAAAGATCTAGAGACCTGCGGTTTTCAGTTTCTGAAACTAGACACTGGGGCACGTAGATCTGTGAAAAAATCATGGCGTTCGATCAGGTTTACCATGGTGTACCATTCGAGGCAAAATCCGAA